ACATGCTTCCAGTCCTAACGTTTCCCGTTCTTGATCCCACCTCCTGGTGGCACCATGAGCTGGACAATAATTAGTATGGCTCATTGGGGGATGTTTGAGAAAGAAACTATAGCAGTTGTCCATTAGATTGATTTAAATATTGGATAAGTTTTTATGACAATCAGCCAAAAAGAAAAATAAAGTGTTTCTAATTCTTACCACACATTTCTCCTTCCCTTTAAAGTGTTACTGAATGCTGGACACGCCCACACATCATCATGATTTAGCTTCATGTTGATTGAAAGCTTTCAGTAATTCAAACAAGCTGTTCTGCTTTGTACCTGTAAGCGACCATTGTCAGTTCTCGGTATTCCCGCACAGGGTACTTGCAGTTGTTTCGGCTGTTTATGTCTATATGCGTCTGCCAAGATGAGCAAGATGCAGCCAACACTGCCTACTGCCACTCCATATGAGGCACAGCGCAAACAGAAACTATTTGTAGACTGAGTAAGCAAATAAAGGCTGTTCATGTGCCATAGTATTGCTTTTAAAATCTCATGACTAGCTAGTTCTTGGTGGCTTGCCTGTCTTCCTACTAAGGTTTGAAGTTGCTTTAGATATAATTTGCCTAATTTCAGAACATAACTGTAATACTGGTGATAATTACAAATAAATTTAGCTGAGCTTAGTGATAGGAAAATCCTAAAAAATCAGAAATAAATACAAGGAAAATTATAGTTGGTAATGAAATATCTAGAGCAAACACATGAGTGTAATGACAAAATGAATACTTAACACAAGCACACAGTTGCTGTTGCTTGGAGAGAAGGTAGTGCTATTTGATGGCACCTTTGTGAAGTACAGTCTACTGGGAGATCCTTTGGCTATCAGAGCTGTGTTCCTTTTCCTTTCCATTTTACATTCTGGTCATGAGGCAAAGAAATTTTTTTCTGTTTCACACTGTCTGCCTTTGTCAGCTAGCACCCACTTCTACAAGAAACCAAACACTATGTCTACATAACATTAATCTAAAATGTACAAAACTGTAAACAAAAAGAAATCTTTTTGCTTTCCCCAGTAGTCATCTCAGTATTTCATTGTAGTTGCTGAAGCAAATACAACTGTCTATAAGGTAAGAAGCATAGTTTCCTAGTATCATATCAATTAACGTTCAGTGGACGTTCATTTATAGGTAGATTCATATTAACATGATGGATAGAGAAATGGACTAAATTTTGACTACTTCTACAACCCAGGGTTTTAAACCTTCATAAGATTATCTCTTTATGTGTCTATAATGCTTGATCATCATCTCATAATCAAATTTTATGCCTACTGTTTTTATAGAAGGTGTGGACAACATTAACTAAGATGGTTTTGCTGACGCTTTAAATTTATGCTGTAGCCAAACTAAAACACTAATTCAACAAATACTTGTGTGTGGGTTTACTTTTCTAATTTGGTAGTTTCTGGTGTTCAAAAGGTACTGAAACACTGCCACAAGTGCTATCTTAAAACTAAGAAGCAAATATTTTACTAGTACTAGGAATAACCCTTACTAAGTACTTACTGATCTCAGGTACAACTGTTTCACTGAAGTCCCACATCGTGATGTAGGAGGCATCATGTGTGCAATTGTTTACAGAGGAAGAAAGCAGGGATTAACACAGAAGGATTAACTCTTACAAGCTCTCACTGTCAGGAAGAGGCAGAGATGGAGCTGGAGTTAAGCAGCTTGACTTCAGAATTCATGTACTTAACCACCACATAATAGTTTATGTTTCTTTTAAGAATATTTTTACATTTTTTCTATTTTTAGTTAATTGTAAGTTCATGTAAGTGTGTGTATCTTCAAAGGGTAGAGATGTTCGATCCCTCTGAAGTTGGAATTACAAGTGATTGTGAGCTGCTCAACATAGGTGGAAGGAATTAAACTCAGATCCACTACAAAAGCAGTATGTGCTCTTAAGCACTGAGCCACCATTTCAAACCGATAGTTTATATTTATGCTATGTAAATTTCACATATGACAAATAAATTTAACTCTGAAAATAAGGCAGTAAGAAACAAACCTATTGTAGAAACTTGCTGGCAACCAAACTGATTCAAGGCTTTCCCTGAGGCCCTGAAAAGGACCTATAACCATGAACATGCTTGGCAGAGCCAGAAATAGCCTGGAACCAGAGCCTTTGGAGCTTTTCCCCAAGTCTCTGATGTGAGGAGAAGGAACATAGTTCCTCATCTAAAACAATGAGCATGCTTGGAAGAGCCAATAATGATCCAGGGCCAGGGTTTTTGGGGAGTTGAGGCTTACTTGAGAAACCAACTATCCCTCTCAAAGGGCTATGGTTATCAGTACCAAGGCCCCTGTGAGGCACTTGAGATATCCTGCATTCCCTTTATGCAACATTGCTTGATTAGCTTCCTACTGAGTTCTTCCTATTGTATGATGTATGACAGCCTTCTGCTTATCATGTCCTGTCTTCCCCCTGAAAATTGTATATATGATACTATACTTCTTAATAAGTGTAGCATAAGACATAATTTGTACCTCCTGACCCCAGATTTCCTATCTTCTTTATCGTCTCTTTTCCCTGTCTAGGACCCTGTCACTGAAGAATGAATTGGTACAGATTAGAAACTCACTAGAAGTTGGAAGAGTGAGTGAAGCAAGACAGCTCCCAGTGTTCAGTTTGTCTAATAAGCGAGGTTCCTTGCTCCACACGACTGGTCATCAAACTGGGGGAACAGTTACAGAACATACCTTTAGAGACAATAGCATGTCATGGGATCAGAGGAGTACAAATGACCTGCTATGCGTATTGAAAGAAGTACTTTTTCAAGACTTAGCAACTCTAGAAGGTAAATTAGTGCCCAAATAAAAGGTTAGGATTTTAGGGATGGAGAGATGGCTCAGCAGCAGGTAGAAGATTGCTGTCAATTCTAAAAACCTGAGTTTGGTATTCAGATCCCTCATGAAGATAGAACAGCTGACTCATGCAAGTTGTACTTTGACCTCTAAGGTATGCGGTGGCATACCCACACACATACAAAAGCATACACAATAAAAATTAATGTAATTGGAAAAGAGGACTTCATTCTCTAGACCTGCTCTGCTCAATGCCATAGCCATTAGTGACATGAGGCTACTGAATACTGGAAACAGTAGTCCAAGCCAAGATGTGCTGAAAAACTATATATCAGCTCCTAAATGATTATATTTATGATGATAATAATCTAGATATATGTGTTAAATATAATATTTCAAGAGTCACATATGTAGCTTGTATTGGTGGAATACTTTTCTATATTTCTATTGGATAAAGTTCTAGATACAAGGGAATTAATGAGCAGTGACAGTAACAATCACTTTGAGGGGTTTATCCAAATGTCAATGATTTGGATTATAGGAAAAACCATCTGTTTTTTCAGTGAACTAAAACAACAACAAAAATAGTTCTTAGTCAAGGAATTAGTATGATAAAATTCATTTTTAGAGACAGACCAACCAGATTCAATGTTTCAAGTGTTTGGATAGAGATCTAAGCAAACTATCCCTAAAACATCTTTGAAACAAGCTTAAAGATCAAAAGAGGGTTTTTATATATTGGATGATATCAATTAACTATTGACAGTTTTGATTGATTAAGGACATCTTGGAGATAAAAAGAAAAAATTGATAGCAAGCTAAAATACTTGGATATAGATGCAAAGCATTTAGGATTTCCTGGGGGATATTAAGTAAGTGGCTAGAATAAAAGAGATAACACAACAGCCTAATGAAATAGTATATCAAATTTTTTGTTCTAAAAACTGGACTTCTTGAATATATTTCTGTATGCAAAGAAGGATCAAGCAGGATTGTTTGAGGAGAGGAATGTTTAATGGGGGATTTATTATTGTAGTGGGAGAGATCCATAATACTTTCTTCTGGTGCTTTTGGCATTTTGGTAGGCCCAAAAGATGGTTTTCTAAGTCCGGGACTGAAACTAGACCCTCTCAGCATTAGTATAATGATCTTTGCATTGAACATGACAAAATCCAGTTGAGAACCTACTCTCTCCTTTTATATTTATATTTTAAAGTCAACCGCATCATTTTGCAACTCCTCATGTATTCTGCAATGTTCATAACATTAAAAGAATTTATCCTATTAGATTATTTCAACTTAGTTTTATTTTCAACGCCTCTTAAGCTGATAGAAGCTGGTAGAAAAATACAATAAACAGAAAGTATATCTAAGCAAGCAGCAACACCGAAACCACTTTGTATCTCCAAGGGAGTGCATATCATGTTCTCAAAACTAAGATGCTTCTTGTCTCTAGATATATTGCAAAGAAGAGACCAAGGCAACGTGAGTAAAAAGGAACACAGGAAAGATGAGAGGAGAGAGAGACAGAGAGAGAGACAGAGAGAGAACGCTCTCTCTCTGTACACTCAAAAGTGCTCACATGGAGTAACCCTTACCTAAAAGACTCACAAAGGAGAGTTCATTCTGGTAAGAGTGCTGGTTCTACACCTGCATAATTACGTATCTGGCTTTGATCCCTCCCTCATTTGTTTCCTCATCTACAACTAAGTAGCTGTAGCAACACCTTCCAAAGTTGTCTCGGTGGGCTGAAGTGAAAGCAAAAACAGAGATAGTAAATGTGAAGATATTTGAATTTTTAGAAAACTTTAAGTCAGCTGCTTAAGTCTAAAGCGATGATTATTAGGCATAATTTATTAGCTACCCTCATCCTTATCACCAATTCCCGGCCCCCAGTATCAACCAACAGGACCCGAGTTACTCAAGGTAAGGTAAGTGGAACCTGGGATGAAGGGGCACCGCAGCAGAGGTAGAAGGATGTGACATTGTTGGAGCCGGGGCCAGGGAGAATTTGAGCAAGACGAGGAAAGGCATTCTCCAGAGCTCCTCTCACAGCTGACAGAAACCTCGGAAACCTGGTCGGGTTACCATAGCGACCGCGTCGGGGAAGGGAGGCGGGGCCCTTCGGATATGTGCACCGACAACTAGGGCACGACTGGAAACTCATTCCCGCTGAACGCAAACTTCCGGCGGAAAGGAAAGTGGGTTCCGCTCTTCGGCGGAGGGGGCTCACGTTCGCCTGTGAAGCCTGGTGAGTCTGACGCTGTGTGGAGCCAGTGAAGTTACTGGCCAGAGCTGGCTGGGTAGGGTGGACTGTGGAAGCCTCGGGTCCTCAAACTCCAAGTCGGGCAACCCGGCTGCCTCATGGTGAACTGGTTTCTAAAGCAGGGACTGTGGCATCCTGGCGTGCACAGCTTCGATAGCGATGTCCTTGTCTGTCAGCATCTTTGCCCTAGCTGCCCTTTCCCTGAGCCTGTGCTGTCATTTCGTGAGGCCTTTCATTTACTCTGGAAGAAGTGAACAGGGAAAATTCAGAGGCTATGTATGCCTCAACTTCATTTTCTTTGACATTCGAATTCTTTATCCATAAGCCCCAGTGTTTTTAGTGAACACTTCTATGGTAGTTTTACCATTAGATTATATGAAATACCTTCTTAGAAGTTCATCCATCACCGAGGCTCACTATTAAATTCTCTTTTTATGACACTGTGAATTTATTTAAAAGATAAGCATATATCGTGATATATCTAGCAGGTTTTCTGTACTTCCTTGTAGCCGTCCTTATACACGGCATTTATGAGAATTAAATGGAACTATCGACTTTCTTGGATTTGCATTATGATCATAATTTACTCAATCAAGTAATAAAGAATTTAGGAAGGGATATTTCGTTATCCCGATTGTAATGAATTGTGATAACATTTCTGTTGCAGCTTTTCTGAGAAGGTTCACTTCAAAGGCAGTGATGGCTTTCGAGCAGACACTCAAAAAGGATTGGTACAGCATTCTGGGGGCAGATCCGTCTGCACATGTGTCAGACCTAAAACAAAAGTATCAGAAACTCATATTACTGGTAAGTCTTTTTTTTTTTTCAGATTGGAAATCATGGCGGGCAAAAGTTTTGTTTTGTTTTTAATATTGCCAAAAATTTAAGCTTCAAAACATCTATGTAAATAGGAATCTAGGTATTTATTTGTTCAGCTGAAAATTTAATAGTAGAGAAAAAGAATTTTGTTAGGTGTGGGATAGCATGGTAATGATTGAAGTAGAATCCTCTGGCTCTATCACTTTAAGAACTTAGACCACTCTTTTTTTGTTTGTCTCAGCTAGTGTTCAATGAAATAATCCATATAAAATGTTTAAAACAGTTTTTACTTAATAAATGTTAAAATCTACCAATCATTAGACACACTGTTGAGTATTTGAAATGTGTAATTTTCTGTGTGTAAAACTGAAAATGTGTAATAAATATAGAATGTGCACTGGTCTTTGATGACTTGGTACAAATAAGAACATAAAAAAATCTAAACGATTTCTACTGATTATAATTAAAATGATAATAGTTTCTGTGTACTGGCTGTTGCATGGGTATTTGTGTGTTTTGCATATAATATTAACTTTTTCAGTAATATTTTTATTCTTTGAGAATTTCATATAATTTTGATCATATCCATTCCCCTTCCTCCAGCTTCCCCCAGATATACCCACAGCTCCCTACCAACCCAAATGCGAGTTCTCTTCCCCCCCACCCCCAGTCCACTGACTTCCATTTGTGTTGCCCAAATATTCTCAGGTATGGGACCAGCACTGGAGTGTGGTCTACCTATCAGGAACCAGACCCTTAAAGAAAACTGACTCCTCCTCTACCTGTAATTATCAAATTCCAATAACTCCTCAGCTAGGGGTGGGGTTTTGTGCTTACCTCTTCCTCTCCATCCTGGAATTTATAATAACAAAATGCTGCTTCATTTCGTTCATGTTTAATATGTACGTGCAGCCTTTATATAGAGCTTAGATTGTTTCCTATTGGATAGTGATAATTCAAGCCTTTTTATTGTTTTTGCTAATATTCATTTGTTTTTTAAATTAAAATGGTACATAAAATTATCTAGAACCTTTGAGTTGTCCTATTCATTTATTCAGTCATAGTTTGATGTTTGTGGGTCAAGGTCGGTAACCATGTAATGGTCTCCATTTAGTTCAGTTTACAAAAAAGAGCCAAGAATCATTATTTATGTAGCATTGTTTGTGTAGTCTAGTTTATGACAAATATAATCTCTGATATTTTGCTCAAACTGTGTTGATTGGGAAAGGTGCCTCACCATCAGAAATGTGCTAATATCCGAATCTCAGAAAAGTGAACTTCAAGCACCTTCTGCCTTGGAATTTTTAAGATAATCAGAAAAATAAAATACATTTTGTTGAAAAATTTCCTTGTACTAAGTCGTCCTTATACTTTAGTTAATGCTTGTTAATGTTAGATAATGCTATGCTTGATAATTGACTGGAGGGACCTGGAGATCCTTCTATGTTCTGCTGTCTTTTACTTGAGCAATGAGAAGGCTTTATGTGGCCCTATTTGTCAGACACATTAACGATACAGAGTGTCCAATCTACATCTGTCCACTACTCAGCTATATCCCCAGTATAGCAGTTTTTGTTCTTATGAAATACGTCCATTTTGGTTTTGTTGTTTTATATTTATTATTTCTATATCTTCTCTAATGTCATGGAAATAGTCTTCTGTGTCTCATTCTAGAAGCTTTATAGTTTGCTTTACTAATAGACCTCTGCCTTCTGTGTAGGCTGAGTTGGTGGCTACACTTGTATGTTTTCTCAGTATGCAGGTGCAGTTCCTCTAGCATCATTTCCTGAAAACATTTTAAGTTCTCCACTAGCCTGTATTTCTTGGGATTATATAATTTCTCTCATTTTTAAGTTTATTTTTGTTTACTTCTGTTCTTTCTTAATTTTTTATTTCATTAAAAATTGTGTGTGTGTTATTGTGTACAATAACACTGTGGTGTGTATAGGTTAGAAACAACATGAGAGGGTCCATTCTCTCTTTTGACCATGTGGGTCCTGGAGATACAACTCAGATCATTGGGTGTGGCAGCAAGTGCCTTTACCCACTGAGCCATCTTGCTAGCCCTTGCTCACATTTGTATAGAAATTTTAGAATCAACTTCTAAAATTAAAAAATAAACAGTTTTGATTGAGCCTTATAAAATTTCATTAATCTATATCTATCTTAGCAAAAAAGGTACCTTACCAGTATTGAATTTGAATACATTAGCACATCATATTCTTTCTACTACTTCCTTAAATCATTTTTAGTCTATCTCAGCAATGTTTATAATTTTTAGTATAGAAGTTATGCTAGTTAGTTTTTATTGTCAACTTGAGGCACTTGGGAAGAGGCAACCTCAATTAAGGCATTACCTAGCTCAGATTGGCCTGTGGCTCGTTCTTGAGACATCGTGTGGAAGGGCCCAGCCCATTGTGGGCGATACTTTCTCTAGGTGAGTGAGTTTGGGCTGTATAAGAAAAGTAGCTGAGCATAAGCCAGTGAGGGAGTAAAAGATCCAGATAGCAAGCAGTGTTCCTGGTTCCTGGATGGTTTCCCTTTCAGTTTCTTCCCTCAATGATGGCTTATGACCTGGAAGTTGTAAGATAAGATAAACCCTTTCTTGCTTTTGTTCAGGTTTTATCACAGCAACAGAAGACCAAACTAGGGCAGAGATCTTACAGTATTCCTTTGGGTTATACCTACCAACTTGATGATTTGGTTTCATTGTAAATGGCATTCTTTTTCTAATTTTACATTCCAGTTATTGACTGCCAGTGTGTAGAATTAGTATAACTTATTTTGTATATCATTATCTCATTCTTCAGTTGTGAACTCTTATAGATTAATGAGAATTTTATACCAACGTAACCATCACTTCAACAAAAGAGATCTCTTTTTCTATTGTGTGCCATGTGTTTCTTCTTGCCATATGTCAAGAAGATAATGAACATAGTTTGTGGTAGGTTTCAAACCTGGAACAAATGGCTGAGGTGCCTATTTAACATATCAGAGCAGACCCTGGAATCTCTCAGCCCTTGCCTGTTACAGAACTCAATGGGCTGGCACACCCCATACCCACTCTTAATTCCCCAGCCCAGGTTACTGGGCTGCCCTTCCCTATATAATCTAATATATGATCTAATATATAATTATGTGCTATCTCTGTACCTTTGGGCATCCTGGTTTCTACACCTGATTCCCATCTCTCCACTCTCTTTTTCTTCTCCTCACATGGCTCAGGACTCTCCTAGATGTCCCTGCCTCTGACTATGCTTTCCCACATATATGCAATAAACATTCTCTTCTACCATACCTAGGAACAGTCATGTTCCTGTCCTTTTTATTTCTTTTTTCATTCAGTTTTTCTTTTGCCTGTATCCCTGGTGGTTTTCTCCTGCTGCTATTGCTCTGCCGAAGTTCAAAACTGAACTTCTCTCTGAGGAGGGGTCTTTTACCTTTTGGATTTGGGTTCTACAGACTTCCTAAAAGCTTTGTCTTTCTTATTTTTTCATCTATTTTACAAAAGCAAAAGAGGAATTATGAATTATAAAAAACAAAAACTCCGTGCTTTTACCAATAGGCTAATAGTAAGGGCACTGAAGATATTTGGCTGGTTTTCTGGAGTGTTCCTATCAGAATTGGAATGGGCTGAATTTCCTCTCATTTTGTTAAAAAATAGTCAAATTCCTAACCCCACTTCTTTTCCTCGAGAGCTTTTGCTCCCCCTCTGACCTCTGTAGGAAAATTCTTCCCCAAGGATGTCTCTGCTACATGTCTCCAGTTCCTCCCCTCTATCAGAAGGCTTTACCTCTTCCACACCCACAATTGCTATTGTTGGGATCATCACTAACTTCTCTCTTGCTAAAAAGTGGCAGTCAATTGTAAGACTTTGTTTTGGTTTATTACTAAGGTGGCCAAATCCCAGTTTTCTCGGAAGTTTGTGGAGATGCGTTGCCAAGACAAGATACGACAGTCGATCAAAATTCCTGCTTCACAAAAAAAGTCTGTCAGATACATTAGGCCTGTAGATGGATGCCCTAATGTTGCAGAGGAACTTTGGGCGACTGTCCAGGAAGCCAGCTCTCAATGTCATTTCTATACTCTTGGAAGTTATGTTCTCTGCACTGATGTGGGATTTCCTTCTTTATATGTGTTCCTCTTATTGGTTAATGAATAAAGCTACTTTGTCCTATAGAAGGACAGAATATATCCAGGCTGGAAGTAGAGATATAGAGAGAGAGTAGGCAGAGTCAAGGAGACACCATTTAGCTGCCAAAGGAGGCAGATGCCATGTAGATGCCAAATTTTGAAGGGCTGTCCTATCTTTTCTTGACAAAGTTTGGCAGTTTCTTTCTTTTGTATCCTTTTTGTCCAGTTTGGATATTGTATTGTCAGCAGTTGAGGCAGGGGTAGGTTTTTTTTTTTGTTTTTTTTTTTGTTTTTGTTTTTGTTTTTTTGTCTAGTGGCTAACTTTGCCACAATGAAAGTCCATGTGGAGGTTCCCACTGCCAGGAGCAGACATATCTCACTGTTATGAAAAGCTTTATGTCATTAAAACATCTTCAATGCTATATTCTGTATGCCTCTGGGGTGTCTAAAGATCACCTATCTATCTAAATATACTTGTTTAAACTTGAAAATATGCCTAACATGACTATAAGTTTGATTGTTATAGATGACTAACTACTAACCTACATTTCTTAATTATTCTAAATAGTTTTCAAAGACTAGAACTTTACATTTTTCAATGAGTTGCATAAGTATAATACCATAAACAAGAGTAGAAATAAGAGTATATTATATCAAAAATAATCTTAAATTTGTATTAATATACTCTATCCCCTTTTTCTTTTCAGAAAGAGATCCAACTTCCCTTACTTAGTTTTTTTCCCTCTTACCATAACTTGTAACATTTTGCAACTAGTTACTTTACACCATGACAAATATCCATAACCCACAGAATGACCAAAACCATCCACCCCACCTCTTGGGAATGTGAGCAT